TTATCAACGCTTGCTAAATCACCTCCCATCACCTCATAACTCAGGCGTTGAAAGCGTAATTATGTGCACGCTGCTCAATTTTGGTCCCGTCACGAACAACACATCAGGCTTCACGGCGGCCACAGCCTAGTAGCACCGTGTCGAAATTCTGAAGCTTGATAAGCAACCTGTAACCTTAAATTCTGAAGCTTGGGTGAGTTTCCTGCACCCTGAAATTCTGAAGCTTGATAAGCAACCTGTAACCTTAAATTCTGAAGCTTGGGTGAGCTTCCTGTAACCTGAAATTCTGAAACTTGGGTGAGCTTCCTGTAACCTGAAATTCTGAAGCTTGATAAGCATCCTATAACCTTAAATTCTAAAGCTTGGGTGAGTTTCCTTTAACCTGAAATTCTGAAGCTTGGGTGAGTTTCCTTTAACCTTAAATTCTTAAACTTGGGTGAGCTTCCTGTAACCTGAAGCTTATCACAACACGAGTATCATTAAGCAGTAAAGCCCAGCAGCACACATGAAGGACGAAATTTTCAATCAAGGAGAGTGGAAGGACAACTACACTAACTCCATCAAGCTAAACTATCTCCCACTCGTATCTGTTATGCTCAACGACTCAACAATGATCACAAACACTTCTACAAAGAGTATTATTCCTCCTCTTTATCTCTAATGACTGACTGACTTAGTATATATATTAAATAAAAAAAAACATACACTGGTAGGCAAGGCTAAATATCTTGGGAGTATTTACAAAATTTACATAGATAATACAGCCATTCTAATACGTATAATTTAATGTCCAGACTGTAATTATGTTTTTAGTGAAAATATTCTACCGACTTTGCAAAATTCTACACATGCCTTAATTAACTAACTCACCCCCTAACTAAACCAGAATGAACCTAACTTACCTTACCTGAACCAAACTTAATATAGTATAAACATTAATGAACTGTGAAGCCATGTAAACATTATTTACTCCGTCTGATGTTATATTAATTTTTATACCTCGTCCAATATCCTAATTACATCACTCTAAATAGTGTATTATTTTTCTTCTAAGTCTTAAAGAAGATCTTTTTCTTTACCAGATTCTGTTAATATCTACATATGTATCAACTCATGTGTAATGTAAAATGTGTATTACTCACACACTATGAAATTTAATTGTAGAGAAAACTCTATTTAGATGACAGGGTAATGATTGTATTAAGATCATAGTTAGGTTAGGTTAGGTTAGGTTAGGTTAGGTTAGATATTTTACAGTACTATATATACTTAGTTTTCAGGTTGGTTTTTAATGAATGTACAGAATAGAACAATAATACAGTGCTCCATATATACTGTATATCTTTAAGCACATCGGATTAACGTTGTTTCTTTTAGAAATGCGTTATTGGTCAGCGATCCCCGGGCAGAGTGAACCTATGGGCAAGTTTCTTTACGCCATTTGCCTTTGTCTACCCAGCAGTAATTGGGGACCTCGTTAACTCAGGGTGTGGTTGTTGTGTTGGTGACAACTTCTACACCTTAAACAAATTCACGCCTAGGTGGCCCTAGGGCTGGCTATCCTCGCTGCACGAGGGACAGCCATTATTATTACTAAGAAGGGAGATAATTGTAACATTGGGAAGATCCTGTGTGTAGTGGTGAAAGAGCACCAGAGTATAGCGTATATAAATAGTTTTTTGTTTTGTATAATTTTTAGATATAAATTACTGTCAGTCTTGACCTTGACACAAAAAGAACCTAAAAAGAACTCCAAGAGATGGCTCCTGGTGCCCTGCCACACACAACTGGCAGAAAAAATAACGTAAAATATTCTGGAATTTAAGGAAACATCAATGTGAAGGATCGTTTGTATGGACCACTGTGGTAGACGGTGGGGGAGACTGTGAGGGACTTCGTGTGGATGGTTATATGGAACCACAATTATAATAGGAACCAAAACTAATGGAGTCGAGCACTAATGGGCACAAACCTGATGGTTGGGTTAAGTTGGGGCCCCATTAGGACAAGGGCCCATTTAACCTGTAACAAGAATTTGGTTTATCTATTTGGCTGATGAGGTATGGTATACAATCAGCTATATAATTCAATAATTACATCACTAAATTCATCTTCCCACCTTGTTGGCTCCTAATAAGCAATATGTTTTTCGTTTATCAACATACATGGATAACAGCACACTGACAGGCTTCCGTGCCACTGTGAACTACCAGCTGGGGCTTAACACACGGTAACACTGTCAAAATGATAAATGGTGTGTTTATGCTCTTCCAAATTATTGAAAAATTTAAATGAAAAAAAAAATGTGATCGGGCTCCTGGTAACTAATTTCACGGGTAATTTGCGCACGTAAACAATACAGCGTTTGTGGCTACCTCCGAGCCTTTTAAAACTTTCCACTCACATTTTATTGTTTAAAATATTAAATAATTTACTACACAAACGCTACGGCTCGCACATTCAACTGGACAATGTGAAGGTAACTCGGTGTTTGTTCATAGATGCATTTATAAGTTATATTACCTGTGGCTGTATAGTGGGTCAGTATTTTGGTCCAGTTCTGTACTCTTCTCGTTATCTCATTATCACCAGTATTGTCGATCCTCAGTAAGTTATCGTTTTTCGCGTGTAAGATGTTCACTATTGTTCATTATATTCTCAGCACAGGTTAAAAAACAAACAGGTTTAAAGGCCAGTTTAAATGTCTGGTTCCCAACAAACAAACTCCGTCATTCGATAATTCCAGGTTGTGTAACACGGACACTCGCTAAGATAATTATTAAATTTCTTCTAATAAAGCTTAATTTGAAGATATTTTACTGAGAATTAATCACATGAATATAAAAATAAAAAGAATATATTAATTTTCTACATTTTTGGCCAGTTTTGAAATTTCATCAGCAATTTTCACGCGTATGTGATGCATATTGTTGAAGCTGCCTCATGTCAGTGATGGCAACTTCCATTCACACACATTGATGAACTGATGACACTTGCAGTACAGTACAGTACATAGTACATATATACAATATTTGCCTACCATTTATCACGAAAATTCACACAAAAGATATTGAATTTTGTAAAGAAAAAATTAATCAACTACATATTAAGTTCAAAACACATAATGGATACCCACAGAGCATAAAAAATATATACGGGATCTGTTAACCCTTCAGAAGGCAGCAGCGCGCTTAGGTATTTTATTCTGGCTAACACTGGACGATTTTATTCAGCTGAGAGAAAGCCTTACCCTGTTCCCCTGTGGTTAAGGTGTAAACCCCATAAAGACTTATAACTGGGAATACCAACTACACAAAATTGATTCTGTTTATAAGTTAAGGGATGTTAGATGGGGACAATTTCACAGAACTTTGGCAGGATTCTATGAAATGATACCAGTAGTTCTTTACAGCATAGTCAACGGGGTACCAGATTATAAGATACCACCTGGGCATTACTGTACCTGCCTGTACTTTATATACCTCACTCTCTACCTATACTTTATACCTGATTGTATTGTTATGATCAGAATACTATCTCTGCTCTGCCTCTGACAATAATAAATAAACACAGAGAGGCAGAATCTACAGATAATAAGATAAAAATAGCCTGATGATGACCGGCTATCTATAAGAGATTTCTGGGCGGGAAATTTTATGGAAGGGAAGAAATACATTTTTGGATTGTCAAGGGATAGTAAATGATGTTTTTTTTTTTTTTTTGGTCGTAAGTGAAAACGTGAGGAAAAGTCTAACATTCTAGAGTTCTGATTGTCAAGGGAACGTAAGTGATTTTTTTTTGTCGTAAGTGAAGACGTGAGGAAGAGTGTAATGGTTTTATTTGCGTTACGATATAAGGATGGATTCTTAAAAGTTCTTATATGCTAATTTTTTCCCCAGTAGCTAAATGGTTCGCTTAGACTACGACACAAAGATGGAGTCGAAATAACTAAGTAACTAAATTAGGTTCTCATCCTCCTAGTTAAATAGTCAAAGCATAGAAAGATAGTAAATAAAAGACTAAAATACGGAAGGTACTAAAAGAAAAGACTAAAATACGGAAGATAATAAAAGAAACGACTAAAATACGGAAGATAATAAAATAAAATACAAAAATATGAAAAAAGAGACTAAAATAAGGGAGATAACAAAATAACAAAATAAATTATGGAAGAAAATAAAACAATAATAAAATAAGACTAAAATACGGAATAATAAAAAATAAGACTAAAATACGGAAGCTAATAAAATAAAATACAAAAAATACGGCAGAAAATAAAATAGAACATAAAATTCAGAAGATAATAAAATAAAAAACTAAAATATGGAAAATAAAAACAAAAGACTAAAATAGGGGAGATAACAAAATAAAATATGGAAGAAAATAAAATAGAATAATAAAATAAAAGACTAAAATACGAAAGATAACAAAATAAAAGACTAAAATAAGGAAGATAATAAAATAAAAGACTAAAATGCCATCTCACATCTTCAGTTACGCGCCAAAACTCACGTAACTTAAAACCATCTGAGAATTCTTGGACCCAGCCTGCGTTTATCCGAGCGGGTGTAAGCTGATTGGCCGGCGAGCGAGGCAACTGCAAATGACGTCAACTAAAAGAAATGGGCCAGAGTGAAAAAAAATATATATATCTCTCTCTCTCTCTCTCTCTCATTCTCTCTCTCACTCGCCTCTTCCCTCTACTTGAAAAAGGTGATCGCTGTCAGAGTCTGGTGGTGGAGTGTAAAAAGTAAAACCCCTCCCCCCTTCCCCCTATCTCTAACCTCACCCCTCCCCCTACCCCTCTCCCCCTTCCTTCCCCCAGGCAGACAAGAACCCCTTCAAATAAAATAGGTTGGTGGTGAAATAGGTTAATGGTGAAATAGGTTAATGGTGAAATAGGTTAATGGTGAAATAGGTGAGAGAGAGAGAGAGAGAGAGAGAGAGAGAGAGAGAGAGAGAGAGAGAGTCCTTGCTTGAGGTCGCAGTGAAAATGGGTAATGGACTCTGGCTGGTCGACCATCAGTGTGGACCATCCCAGTGTGGACCATCCCAGTGTGGACCATCCCAGTGTGGACCATCCCAGTGTGGACCATCCCAGTGTGGACCATCCCAGTGTGGACCATCCCAGTGTGGACCATCCTAGTGTGGACCATCCTAGTGTGGACCATCCCAGTGTGGACCATCCTAGTGTGGACCATCCCAGTGTGGACCATCCTAGTGTGGACCATCCCAGTGTGGACCATCCTAGTGTGGACCATCCTAGTGTGGACCATCCCAGTGGACCATCCTAGTGTGGACCATCCTAGTGTGGACCATCCTAGTGTGGGCATCCTAGTGTGGAGCATCCTAGTGTGGACCATCCCAGTGTGGACCATCCTAGTGTGGACCATCCCAGTGTGGACCATCCTAGTGTGGACCATCCAGTGTGGACCATCCTAGTGTGGAACATCCAGTGTGGACCATCCTAGTGTGGACCATCCTAGTGTGGACCATCCTAGTGTGGACCATCCCAGTGTGGACCATCCTAGTGTGGACCATCCTAGTGTGGACCATCCGATGTGGACCATCCTAGTGTGGACCATCCTAGTGTGGACCATCAGTGTGGACCATCCCAGTGTGGACCATCCTAGTGTGGACCATCCTAGTGTGGACCATCCCAGTGTGGACCATCCTAGTGTGGACCATCCAGTGTGGACCATCCTGTGTGGACCATCTAGTGGACCATCCTAGTGTGGACCATCCCAGTGTGGACCATCCTAGTGTGGACCATCCGTGTGGACCATCCCAGTGTGGACCATCCTGGTGTGGACCATCCTGGTGTGGACCATCCCAGTGTGGACCCATCTAGTGTGGACCATCTAGTGTGGACCATCTAGTGTGGACCATCCCAGTGTGGACCATCTAGTGTGGAGCATCCTAGTGTGGACCATCCCAGTGTGGACCATCCTAGTGTGGAGTATCCTAGTGTGGAGCATCCTAGTGTGGACCATCCCGGTGGACCATCCTAGTGTGGACCATCCTAGTGTGGACCATCCTAGTGTGGACCATCCTAGTGTGGACCATCCTAGTGTGGACCATCCCAGTGTGGACCATCCCAGTGTGGACCATCCTAGTGTGGACCATCCCAGTGTGGACCATCCTAGTGTGGACCATCCCAGTGTGGACCATCCTAGTGTGGAGCATCCTAGTGTGGAGCATCCTAGTGTGGACCATCCCAGTGTGGACCATCCTAGTGTGGACCATCCTAGTGTGGAGCATCCTAGTGTGGACCATCCCAGTGTGGACCATCCTAGTGTGGACCATCCAGTGTGGACCATCCTGGTGTGGACCATCCCAGTGTGGACCATCCCAGTGTGGACCATCCTAGTGTGGACCATCCCAGTGTGGACCATCTAGTGTGGCCATCCAGTGTGGACCATCAGTGTGGACCATCCTAGTGTGGACCATCTAGTGTGGACCATCCTAGTGTGGACCATCCCAGTGTGGACCATCCCAGTGTGGACCATCCCAGTGTGGACCATCCTAGTGTGGACCATCCTCAGTGTGGACCATCCCAGTGTGGACCATCCCAGTGTGGACCATCCTAGTGTGGACCATCCCAGTGTGGACCATCCAGTGTGGACCATCCAGTGTGGACCATCCCAGTGTGGACCATCCTAGTGTGGACCATCCCAGTGTGGACCATCCCAGTGTGGACCATCTAGTGTGGAGCATCCTAGTGTGGACCATCCCAGTGTGGAGCATCCTAGTGTGGAGCATCCTAGTGGACCATCCAGTGTGGACCATCCCAGTGTGGACCATCCTAGTGTGGACCATCTAGTGTGGACCATCCTAGTGTGGACCATCCAGTGTGGACCATCCAGTGTGGACCATCCTAGTGTGGACCATCCCAGTGTGGACCAGTGTGGACAGTTGATTCTAAATGATCTTTATTGAAGGACATCCGGGCCATCTTCTTATACTTACCTGGCCCTCTCCTCCTTCCTTCTCCTCCTCCCTCCCTCCATCCCCTCTTCCCCTCCTTCCCTCCCCTCTCTTCCTCCTCTTCCTCTTTCCTCTCCTCCTCCCCTCTCCTCCCCGCCCTCCCTCCCCCTCTCCTCCCTCCTCCCTCCCTCCCCCTTGGATTCTCAGAGACTCTCACAGTACGATAAGTTTTCCCCCCTAAGCGTCAATGTGAGAACGCAGCTACCTGGTTCACCTGCATTTCCAGCAAAGGTGAATTCTCAAACGTTCCTAAATGTTCCCCCGTGGCTAGAGAGAAAAAAAAAAAAAAAAAAAAAGAGAGAGAGAGAGAGAGAGGATTACGACACAAATATAGATTCTCAAAGGTGACGTGAGAAGATAACTATGATAAAGACATAAGTAGGTGAACTAACTTACGGTCTCTCTCCCGTAACTTAGGTGAGTTGGACGTGTTATACCATTAAGAGTTAAGGGGAAATGTTAATGTAAGATCCTTTGGGAATCTTAACTTGAGTCCTGAATTATCCTTTTTTTTCTCTCTTTTTTTAAACAATATACTGTATTATTATTATTATTATTATTATTATTATTAAACTTACTCGAAAATCCATCTTAGTGTCATATCTTCAGTGAGTCAATAAACTTCATCCATTCTTACGTAACAAAACCCTAACCTAAACAGTCTTCAGAAACATTTAACCTAACCATCTAAAACACTACTAAACCCTATACAACTTTTCATCAGTAAACCTAAGGGAATCTTCAGTTTTTCTTTGATTAAAAAAAATTTATAGCGTTGTGTAAGTTTGATCAGGTGAGGCGGCCATGATTGATGCTCGACAAAGGTCAGTAATCAATGATCACAAAGTTGGTGGGTATTTTGTGTGGTCAGGATGGACGTTTGTAATTATCCGTGGCGGCCAGGCGCGGCGCTCCTGGCTAGAAATGCACATTAATTCCCGGAGCACAAAGGTCGACCCCCCCCCTCCCCCGACCAACATCAGCTGATCTATAGGTGTTGACGACGCGGTTCTCGGCTGGGTGTCCAGGGGTAATAATTTTCTCCTATGTAACTTAAATATTTTTTTTAATTCACTTTGAAACATCTAAAATAAAAATAAAGTAAATAAAAATAGAAGGATTCAAGTATGATTAATTGATGCCTCGCTAAGAGTCTTTTTAGTGTGAGTAACGGTGTGCTGTCTCCTCCACACACTACTGACAACACCGGGTGTACTGTATAGTTATCATAATAACCATTATAAGTACACACACATGACTGCATATTCACATACATATAAACACAAATGTAATTATATATATATATATATATATATATATATATATATATATATATATATATATATATATATATATATATATATATATATATATATATATATATACTGATAACCACAAGGAAAGAAGAAAATCAAGAAGTTCCCAAGCGCTTTCGTGTCCATCTTCAGGGGTAGTACAGTCTTGCTCACCCCTGAAGATGTAATTACAGCCTTGAAACTCATCTTTCCTTGTGATTATCATATATCCTGGATCACCTTCTAGTGATTTACTGCATATATATATATATATATATATATATATATATATATATATATATATATATATATATATATATATATATATATATATATATATATGTATATATATATATATATATATATATATATATATATGTATATATATATATATATATATATATATATATATATATATATATATATATATATATATATATATATATATATATATATATATATATATATATATATATATATATATATATATATGTGTGTGTGTGTGTGTGTGTGTGTGTGTGTGTGTGTACTAGCGAACTCATACTCATATAAGTTCTCAAAAATATACTCCAATACACCCATAATGGTTGCCTACGTGTTGGAGCATGGCCGTAGGGCCACCTAGGCGTGAATTTGTTTAAGGTGTTGCAGCTGCTGCCACCACAACCACTCCCTAAATGTACGAGTTTTATGACACAGTGTCCAGGAATTATTCAAGAAGACCGGACAACTCGCCAACTGCACTGACTAACCATTGACCCGGAACTATATCTGCAAATCGATATTCCTGTGTCCAATTACTGCAAAATATAGAGGGCAACTGACGTAAAAAACTGTCCTCATACTTTCACCTGCCAAGGATCGAACCCAGGTCCACTTGAATGAGAAGGCAGGCAGCCACACACACACACACACACACACACACACACATAAAGACAAACAAAGACATATTCCCACACGAGTAAATGAACACCTTTGCATGTGTATGGACGAAAATGAAACACTTGTATACATGAACATACAAACAAACGTATGTATACTGTACATAAGTATACGTTCTTATACATGTATACACTTAAATATTCCAAATATTTTACTATATTTGCCACAAGTAAACTTAAAATATATTTATATATTCCAAAACGAAAATATTAATTATTAGGTCAAAAACAATCATAAAAAGTCCAGATACAGTTACTAAATCAATCATGCATTAATGATTACAAATAAATAACAAATCCAACACACACACTTATACAATATACCTTTACAAACACTGTACACCAGGTCATGTAGTACAAACACTGTACACCAGGTCATGTAGTACAAACACTGTACACTAGGTCATGTAGTACAAACACTGTACACCAGGTCATGTAGTACAAACACTGTACACCAGGTCATGTAGTACAAACACTGTACACTAGGTCATGTAGTACAAACACTGTACACCAGGTCATGTAGTACAAACACTGTACACAGGTCATGTAGTACAAACACTGTACACCAGGTCATGTAGTACAAACACTGTACACTAGGTCATGTGGTACAAACACTGTACACCAGGTCATGTAGTACAAACACTGTACACCAGGTCATGTAGTACAAACACTGTACACCAGGTCATGTAGTACAAACACTGTACACCAGGTCATGTAGTACAAACACTGTACACCAGGTCATGTAGTACAAACACTGTACACCAGGTCATGTAGTACAAACACTGTACACCAGGTCATGTAGTACAAACACTGGAAACTCAATGGTAAATATTGAAATCCATAAATAGTGAAAACCTGTTGAATAAAATTGATTATCTAAAAAAATAAAAAAGGAGAATCTTTAAGATGAAGAAAGTGAGTTGGTGCTGCCTCACGGACACCTTCACAGTTCTTTTTATTAAAACTAACAGGATTGAGAGGGAAAGAATAGAAGCAAGAGAGTCGGGGGGGGGAAGAATAATGGTTCCGGGGAAAATTTACCGCCCATTAGAGTCGTGGATCCCGTGTGCGCACAGTGAAGCGACTGTCTTTTATTATATTGTTTTTGTTTACAAGTGCGCGGCAATGGTGTGTGATGATCTGCCATTATTCGCCACCACATTTGCTGTAGGAAATGTTTGAGTTTTATATTCTACACACACGCCTCAATAATTTATACAGAAAAAATGGATTATATATTTCGTAAATAACGCGCGAGCATCGGGGGTGTAAACAAAGAAATGCGGGGACACGGGCGTAAAAATAAGCGTAGGCTCAGATTCCCAACGTTTCGTACGTGAAAGGATTTTTTCTCTTGCACAGGCACAAATAAGAGAGAACACCTCGATACTATACACTCCTGGTAAATTTGCCGCCATTACACCTAAATGGCCCTAAGCAACCTGGTTTAACACGTTCTCACATCACCAGCGACCGGGATGAAATATTGGCGAGCGAATCTCTGAGACTGTGGACCCTTGCTTGTAGATTCCACCCCAGCATCCCAAATTACCCGCCTGCGTGGAATTGAAAGTCGTTCAGCATGAGAAATGTTGATGGTGGCGCCATTATGCCTCAAACGTCGGACCGGAGTGTCATTGTCAACCACTGCTTTCGCGTCCGCTCCTCTTTAGCAGAGCTACTTAGTAACATGCGCTGGGGGAGGTGAGGAGAGAAGGGAAGGAGGGAAGGAAGGGGTGTTATCAGCGATGTCCAAGATTCTTACGTACTCTGTACCTGATTTCGGGATTAGGTATTGGAGTAAACAATCCAGTTGGGATTTTCAAAGGATTATATGTTAATTTATCTCCCTGTTCTCAAGTCCAGATATTTTTATAACGAGTAACTTGGGATTCTCACTAGTGCACTCAGAAGGACTTGGGTCAGAGCCCTCAAAAGTCCGTAATTAACACTCCAGGGTTCGCATGTTAAATATTTCAACAAAGATTCATAAGAAAATAGAAAGTAACATGGCGGTGAATATTACAATGAGACTTTACTGTGATAACTACTGATGTGACCCTTGGTGGAGGTGTGGGAGAGTGGTGACATCCTACCTCAGTTGTCCAGCGGGTGGATCTATTTTAGGATGCCAATCGCAGAGAAGCACGAGGAGGTGCCGGCGTGGTGAACAAATTTACCTTTCATTATAACAAGATCTGGTGGACCATTGGGTCAACACTCCTCCTTCCCTCCCCCCTCGCCCTCCCTCTCTTACGACATCCCCTCAATCCCTTACTCCTTCACTTACGACAGCCCCTCTCTCCCTCCTTCACTTCTCACTCCCTACTTCCTTCACTCCCTACTTCACTCTACCCCTCCTCCATCATCTTCTCCCTCACTTACGACAACCCTCCACCCTACCCTTCCTCACTTACCCATACCCTCCTCCCTCGCTCCTTACCTACAACACCCTCCTCCCTCCCTCACCTACAACACCCTCCTCCCCCCTCACCTACAACACCTCCTCCCCCCCTCACCTACAACACCCTCCTCCCTCCCTCACCTACAACACCCTCCTCCCTCCTCACCAACAACACCCTCCTCCTCCCTACACCCTACTACCTCCTCCCTTACCCTCACCCCAACACCCTCCTCCCCCTCACCACAACACCCTCCTCCCTCCCTCACCCTACAACACCCTCCTCTCCCTCACCTACAACACCCTCGTCCCCCC